AATTCACAATAGAAAATACCACTGAGAATGGAAACAATATCAGACTTTAAGGATTCAGAGGTGTTTTTAGAAAAATAGACTGAGGATTTAGATAGGTTGACTTTTTGCCCTGAATCAAGACCATAAAGTCTGAGTATTAGATATAAGCACAGAATGACAGGAGTCTGCTTTGCAAAAAATAATGGAATCGTCAGCAAAAAAAGATGGGTAATAGGAGGAGAGAGCTTGCTGATCTTAATACCCTGGAAAGAGTGCAAAAGAGATGCTTGCTTGATTAAATTAGAAAGAGCTTCAGAAACAATGATGAAGAGGTAAGGGGATAAGGGGTCCCCTTGTCTTAAGCCTCTAGATGGTTGAACAAAACCTAGGCGTTTACCATTAATCTATAACTCCCTTAAAAGTATGAGTTGTTTCTTGAAAAAATTAAAATGCCCATATTACCCTCTACAAATCTAGCTTTTAAGTACATAAATGTAATTTCATAATTTTAATAACATTTCCTTCTCCACAAGTAAATACGTTTACTCCTCCACAAGTAATTTACTTTGTTACTAATAAACAATATAAACAAATAAATTATTTCAAATAATAATACATTTACTCCTTATATAATATAAACAACTAAAATTGTTTATTGTTTCAAATAATAATACATTTACTCCTTATAATATAAACAACTAAAATTGTTTCAAATATAAAATAAATTTATTTATCAAATATCAAATAAATTTATCTATATATTATTATCAAATATAAAAATATTTATGCACCTTTCATAACTCCTTTAAAAGTATGAGTTGTTTTTGAAAAAATTGAAATGCTCATATTACCCTCTACAAATCTAGCTTTTAAGTACATAAATGTAATTTCATAATTTTAATAACATTTCCTTCTCCACAAGTAAATACTTTTACTCCTCCACAAGTAATTTACTTTGTTACTAATAAATAATATAAACAAATAAATTATTTCAAATAATAATACATTTACTCCTTATATAATATAAACAACTAAAATTGTTTATTGTTTCATATAATAATACATTTACTCCTTGTAATATAAACAACTAAAATTGTTTCAAATAAATTTATTTATCAAATATCAAATAAATTTATTATTTATTATTATCAAATATAAAAATATTTATGCACCTTTCACAGTCAAAATTCCCAGCAAAAGTTTTTTCTAGGAACAACAAATGAAAAAAAAAAGAAATAATTATAAATAAAAAAATAAATGAAGTTATACCTGACAAGAAAACAACAAACAATTGGCAAGACAACAAAAATAGCACAAGTTACAAGAATCCAATACATTAATCAATTATATGCATACCATATAATTTCGCAACGTCATTATGCATTAATTCTAAATTAAATGTGGGCAACTATCATTTCAAAATCTATAGTAATATAAAGAGGTTGTTGGAAAAATACAAAAATAGTATGTTTGACTTGAAAAATAATGTTTTGACTTACTAATTTAAGTAACATCAATGGGCCCCACGCGATTAAAATTTAATTTAAGTAATAAATATCTCATAAGAAAAATAGTTCGGATTTTCTTAACTAATTCAGCGGATTCTGTGGGATTTTATAGATTCACAATTTTAATAATTACTACAAAATCTTGAAGATCATCAATTTAAGTAATAAAATCTCTCATAGAAAAATTAGTTCAGATTTTCTTAACCAATTCAACGGATTTTGTGGGATTTTATATATTCACAATTTTAATAATTACTACAAAATCTTGAAGATCATTAATTTAAGTAATAAATCTCTCAAAGCGAAATTAGTTCGGATTTTCTTAACCAATTCAGCGGATTCTGTGGGATTTATATATTCACAATTTTAATAATTACTACAAAATCTTGTAGATAATGATAGAAATTGTTTTACCAAAGTTATAGGATTTTGTTAACTATATTACTAGGATTTTAATGAATTTTATATATGAATTGTTGTTACCAATTTTCCACGATAACTACAGATTTTTTTGGGCAGCTACATAATTGACGATTTGACAGCTTTTTAGTTTTCACATTTGTTTGTCAATTATTTCGTTTTTTTTACCAACATATATATGATCCGATTTTGTAGGATTTTATTTATTCAAAAATTTATTAAATG